TCTACAATAACAGAACAAAAATAAAAATTAGTACCTACAAATAACAAACAGCAAAAGAAATTAGCTTCATACATGTAGACAATCATCCATATGCTAAAACATTATTTGTAGCATGCTGTAAAATGTCCAACAAACACCTGATAGCAGGTTATCATCATGACAAACAAACAACCTGAAGAGTTTGGATTCTCACCTGTTTGCCTGTGTACGATGAGGACGATGATGATGACCCCCGATATGTAACTTTTGGATCTCTACGACTCGAATATGAATCAGAATTAAAAGGAGGCAAAGTGTACGCTTTAATTTGAAATCAAAGCTATGAAAGCTGTTCGACCACACGAAGTTCAGGAAACAAGTCGATTCTGGCCAGCCAAACGCATTTTCAAAATATGGACAATCAAAGCTGAAAGCCTTTGAGTACAATCAATAGCAAGTTCCCTGTAGCTGTTCCCGTGGGCAAAGGAGTAATCCGATGTCAGTTTGCTGAAAGCTGAAATATGCTCGAAGGATGTGTAATATAAACACTCGATGTTTACATGATACGGTGGACATCCCAAACGGCGCTTTCAGTAACTTCACGCACAGAGTTTTGAAGGCAATTAAACAGTAGGTTGCATAAGTTTCATTCAAGGTTTCTTGCTAAATTTGATTATTCCTTTTTCTACGAACAGCAGTCTTGTAGGTCCTTGTAGTTTAGCAGCTCTCTTTCACGCTCTGCCGCCATGCTGATCTTCTTATCGATCTTCATTTAATCGATCTTCAATTTTTCTCAGGTTTGCGCAGGAGCAGTTACGCAAAACAGGCAAAATTACGTCATTATCCACTAGCCAATCAGCGGTTTTTGCGCTCTGTCCTCCTGTTCATCAAACGTCCTTGTTTGCTCACGACAGACAGAGTCCGTGTTGAAAGTCTTTTTTCCGACGCCACGATAAATTGAAGGAAAGAGGCGATGGCAGATGATGGTACAAACGTACCAGGTGTGTGTAAAATTAATATTTCTTTGCGTTTTCTTTCCTCTGCTCTTATAGATTTCCGTATTATTTAGACAAAAGAATACTTTGGTGATTGTTAAGACTTACAAATCGTTATACATATTACTGCGCTTTTCACAAACATGCAAACTCTAAAGTTCAAAAGCCGCCTTCATAATTGCGTTTCTCGCTGCCGTCAATCATAATTACGATAACAAGCAACGAACCTTGAAACACAGAAACACACAAAACGGATCGAAATCCACCAATCACAAACACAAACCTTGACCTCTTGAACCCGTTAAAGTAAAGTTTTGTTTCCCAAGAGGTCCGTTAAGATGATTGACGGCAGCGAAAAATGCAATCGTCAGTTGGCTTTTGAACTTCAGAATTCACATGTTTGTGAAAAGCGCAGTAACATTTAAGACTCCCTCGATGACTTGGAAATGAACAAAAACGTGGCTTCACTTAACGCATCCCGAATTTTACTTTTTTTGTTTAGCGCAACGAAAACGATGGCTTTTTCGATCTTCCTCCATCGTACAAAAATGGCTGTTTATTTCCATGTCAATTATCTGCAGCAGCGGCAGCCAAGGTAGGTGTTGTTGAGGTTTTTTTTCTGACTCGACGTCAACATATACACTGCTTATCTTTGAAGTTTATACCGATTTAAAATATTACAGAGGCGAGCTTTTCTTGCAGGCTACCCCATTGGATTGTAAACTGAATGACTCAAGTCACTACGATTAATTTCCTCCATATCCCTTACTACTGTGAATTAAGTTGTCTTGGAACGCTAAACTGTCAAACAGAAACATTGAAGAGTTGATTACGCTTTGAATCTGACTGTAAATCACTTCAGTCTTAATCGATTCCTCTTAACTTAAACATAAACGTACTAGACCAGCTGCCCACCATTCCTTTTGAATCTCTTGCTAGCTAAGCATACGAGTTCACTAATTGGAGATTTCGGCCAGATATTATGTGAATATACGAGGGTTTAAAATGGGCTTGATCTAGAGGGTCGAACATAACGCCAAAAGTTTGGTGAACAAGTATACGAGTTAAGGTATATTCCTTTATTAAAATGACTAGTTATGAGAAAAAAAAAGCTACCTTTATTCAGCTGCTAAAGGTGAATTCTGTTTAATTTTTCAATACTCGTTCGACGTAATGTTTATTAATTTAATAGAACTACTGGAATATCAGTATTTACAATGCTTTTTCTATCCTCTTCGTTTTTTATTGATTCTAAACTAGAAATATGAGTATTGTGGAATAATTTCAAATAAAGATGAAAATGCAATCGTCAGCTGCAAGGTTAAGATTCGTTTAATTTCCGCGGGAAACTTAATAATCAGAGGGAAAAAAGAATTATTAGCTAAATGTCTACCAGTCGGATAGCTCCCTGTTGTTTTATTTCAAGTTATTGACAAAAAATGTTTCTTAAAGAATGACTGTTTTTTTTGTTTTTTGGTTCTAAAGGGGCAGAGTGGGATAACGACGTATTGGGCATGGGCAATGTTCTCGAATTTTTCTTAACTCTTTATTGCATGCGTGAGGAGTCATGGCAACATCAGACTTTGCCAAAACCTCCCCCAGAGACAATTACTAGTGGCTTTATTTCTGTTGGTGGTTGTTTTGGTAACATTGCAAGATTGTGGCTTTCAGACAAGGGTGATCGAATTGTTATGTAAAATTAGCCAAAATTATCGATAAACTCAACCAGGCAATTTTACCAAACGTTGCCTCCTTTGTACGTAGGTGTCTAAAAATCGAAAAAATACAAAATAAGTCAGTATTACTCGCACGTAAACAAAACAGACTTTTAAGGGTTTATATTTTCTCTCTGGAAACATGCTGCATACATTCATCAAATAGTCATCGGATTGATTATAAGATCAAGCGGATTTTTTTAGAAGTTTTTTTGTTTGTTCTAAAGTTTTTGTTTCAAATGCTATTTCTCATTTGTATTTTATTTTATGACGCATTTTTAAATTTGTCACTTAATAAAATGACTTAACGCAGCCGATATATCCACCAAGGTCTTGATTTAGAAAAATACTTTATTAGAAGTATAGACTAATTACAGAAGCTTCGTCAATGAGAAATGTACCCTGTCGTTTCTTTCTAAAACTCATTTGAGGTATTATATTTTATTCATGTTGTCTAGAACTTCCAATATTCGGTCGTCTTCCTTTAGCTTGTGGCTTCTCAAATTTCTAGAGATTGACAATCGATCACAGGCTTTCTCAACTTTTTGCTAGTTTGGTATTCTCAGGATCTGAAAGACATTTTTCTACTCTAAAGTGGTCTTTTACGAATAAAAAGTTTAATAAATCATATTTCAGCATACAGAATGCGACCTCTAGTTTAAAAATAGGGTACGTTCCTTCTGGCCATCTAAAATCGGATTTTACGATCAAAACTTCGATTTTACGTTTCATTGAGAACTAAACCAATCTTAGATTGCAATCTGAACGATCCAACTTCGCACTCGGATCGTTCAGATTAGTATCTCAATCTTGTTTTTCAGATTTTTGTTCCATTTATCGAAACCACTCTTCGATCGCTTGAATGAGCTCGTTCATCAGGTGATCATGATGATCTAGGTCAGTTCGGGCAAACGTTTTTATACCCGTCCGTTGTCCTATCGCCAGAACTTAAGATTGTTGTGTTTTAACGCAACAGGGGCATCCAACCGTCAATTTTTGGAAAATATCTGTTCGTAAGACGATTTGAGATCTAGAATTTTCGGAACATTTCTTGCAAAATTTCTTGCTTGCCTGCCTCTCCTAGGATTTTCGAACATCTAAAAATGGTATCATTTCCCATTTTTAACGGATTTTTACCCTAAAAAGGTCACCTAGAATTTTTGGGAGCCTTTTCTTTGGCTGAAATTTTCTAAAAGGTAAGTTTTGATCCCTATAGTTTTCGGATCATTAGACTTTCAGCGACGAAATCCGAACAGATGAAAAATTTTAGGAGATAAAAATATGCCTATATCTACCGTTTAAATTCTAAAATACGTTAAACAATGCTATGTTTAGTGGTTTTGAGCTATATTCTCGTTGGGTGCCCCTGATGCAAGTTGCACAAAAACTCTAGATCGGCAAATAAACGAAAATGCTTGGAGGTTCTCTCGGTAAAATATTCAACGGGTGTTTAGGGCGCGCCGCGCCTCTCAGCATTTGAGGTTTCGTAGTTTTCTTCTGAATTTGTTTATTATAAATTCCAGGCAGATAATTTACGGTTAATGAGTCCGAACATCAACCTCTACTCGTTAAAAAGGAGCATTCCCTTCCATTTCTCTACGAGAAGACGCTTCTTAAAAGAGAACAAATCAAAAACGGTGCCAGGAAATTGCGAAAAATGGTGTAGCAACCAACTACTGTTTAGATCAGTCTTTTTCCACATTTTTGTTCCGGTTAGCACGCCGAAAGTCCAATCGGAAAAGCTTTCTTCAGAGGATTTAAAGGTCACGTCTGTAGGTATTAACTGGCTGGTTTAGATCCATGTCGTTTATTTTGTTTCGTCGTAATTTCCTTCTCCATACGTTAAGGGGAATAGGTACGAGCTTTCGGCGCACTGTTTTCTGTGATCCTGCGGGTGGAACAAGCGTTAGTTATGATTCACAGATAGTAGTCATGATCAAGGCAACTATAAACCAATCATAAGTAACTCTTGTCCACCTAAACGATCCCACAAATCATTGCGCCGAAAGCTGGTATGCGTTTCTCTCATAGTTTCCGGAGTGGGGAGTTAATTGCCAAGCAACTTTCTTGAATTTATCGTAATAGGCCACTCGGACGGCCAGACGGTCGTTTTAAACGTTAAACAGGCTCTCCTCGAGTTTTCGCTAAAAACCTATCACTGCCGCCGTGCATACCAGCACAAATCTTAGCTACTGATTGCATGCAGTTAATTTTTATCAGTTCTTTTTCGTTTAGTGTTCTTGAAAGCACAAGAAATAAAAATTTGTTTTGCTTCGTAGTGGGTGCCTCGCAGTATATGACGTATTCAACT